AAGCCGTCTCCAGCCATTATTAGTCTCAAAGTGGGTTCCTCGTCATCAAATTATGCACTCTGTAGGCTACAACACAGCATAACATATGAGCTTCAAAATCAGGAAATAAAAATATTTGTTACTCTTAATTTTGGTTTTATTTACTCTTGAAACAGAACGCTTTCGGGGACCCTGCACAAGTACATCTAGTAGTATAATATTAGTATAATTTGATATTGTTAATACTATACATGAAGCTAAAATATTGTTTGTTGTATCTTCTTCTAGATCGTAAATTCACCTATGATGAACTGTAAAAAAAGGAGTAGGATATGAACAAAACTGTGTGCTTCTAACTTATTAGAGGTCTATAAAACTATTAAACTAGCAATATTAAATATAAGACCTGAAACAATACAGTATCAGTTTTTGACATACCTCTTCTGTGCCGTAATCAAAATGAACGTCAGTTTTCGCTAATTGTTTTACATCTTCGGAAAACTTTTCATATTCGGGTGTTTCCGGAATGGGCGAGGTAATGGTGAGAAGAGCCTCATAAGCCTTTCGTGCACGATCGTTCTCTTCCGCTGTATTTGATTCCCGATACCAAGGCCACAGAGTTTCATTTTTGCTGTAAAATGACACATTAATACTATTTTACAAAAATCATGTTCTTTTTGTTTGAAAACTGAAAAACTCATTGCGCGGAAGTAAAAACACATTATTCAAGTAAAGAAAACGTCGATTTAGAAATCTCTCTAGCTAAATACGTCATGCGCTTAAGCCTTTGGCTGCGGATGAATAACAAAAATGATCTCTTTTTTTCTTTTTTTTTTTTCGTAGCAGCTTACTTAGGGGCACAGATTAGACCCGTGTTAGAACTATAGATTTCGGAGACAACGAACCGGTGTCGAATCCGTGCAATATCACAAAACACTCACCCCCTACTTTAAACTGTGATTGTGTTATTAGAGTAACAGTCAATCCTTTGGCGTGGATGATGGATGGTGGAGTCCTGCTGATTGGCTGACTATACTCTTGTCGGTTCCAGATAACCGTTAGTGGCTTCATCATCAACATAAAAATGCAAGTACTAATACGTTACTTGTTTAGGTTTTCGTTGTAATAGACGAGGAATGTACACTCGAAACATACTTTTCATTAGTTACCAAGATCTATGTTCCTTCGAAAGATGCCAAGAACAATTACGCTGTCTATATTTCGTCAATTTAAGAAACATAGACATGGTCAAAGAAATAATGGCAAGACATCTTCTCAAACGTTTTTTGGCCTTGTTTAATGCCTTTGGATAGTGACTGTAAAAACAACTGGTATATGAGGGTTTTAAAAAACTTAATTATATCTAAATTTTATTCTCATATTTTCAAGATGTTATTTTTATACTAAGGGGGCTGATCTGTGCGGTTAAGTGGATAAGACAAACTACATTTTATATTAGCCTGGGAGGAATGAAGCTGTTAAGGAGGTCCAGGGGTCGCTAATAGCTAATACGCATATCGTTTTATGACTAGAAATATGATACGATTATAGTAATATAGCTTAATTTATATACAAACATACTGTGTAAAATATACACAATGTATGCTTGATATTATGTATAAAAAATGCCCTCTGTGGTAACAAAAGTAACATTTTCGTCATTTTCGGTAAAAGCTTAATTGTATATAAGTAGAAATCAAACCCACACATAAAGAACTGGAAGAAGCTACAGAAGATCTTTACAAATTATAATCACAATCATTAAAACACCCTTTTAGACTCGTTTCACTGTTAACGGGTCAATGAAGAATGGTAATAACAGCGAAGAGAGGAATCTTGAAGTTAAAATAATAATTAACACCTCACGTCTTACTGTTGAGAGTGTGTTTACTTATCATTGAAAAAAGGGAACAAGTTTGAGTAAACCGTTGAAAATATGAGTCACGAATGCACTATATTGAGGCGATTGAGGGAAATCGGCAAAATTATGCCAAATCTTACACTGAATCAAAATTACTTATTTATCACTAACAGAGCGGTAATTCACGGACTCATAGAATTATACCTACCTAGCGTAGAGTTCCATACTGAAGAACACATACTCTCCACTGTCCACCATGTTTAACTCATCTGCCGCCAGTAGAACTTCCCGAATTGTATCAGGAGATAAGCACATCAAGATCACTGAGAAAAGTATAAAATATTTACTTTTTCAATTTCGTTTTAAAATTATATCTTACCTAAAATAAGAGTGTCCTGACTCATATTATTAAAAAAAGGCATAATATAACTGTCAGAACCACCAGGGGAAACT